GCATTAGATTCAAGGCCAAATTAGAGCGTACAAAACAGCGACAAGCGACGCCAAGCTTTGACCGTCTGCAACCTCTTCGTGTCATATCATCATCTCTCTTTCTCACTCCACTCTAGAGAACAGTTTTTTTAAAATGCTATTTCTATGTGCAGTCATTTTTGCAATGTATACGCGATCGATGCAAACAACATTTTCCTTCATGTACAAATACGTTATATATACTCGGAAGTTCTATACAAGATTCCTGAGGTCACTGAATTTTTTATTTACAACATTTCATTCCTAAAGCAGATCCGCACTCTTTTAAAGACAAACGTAATAAATAAATTAACTTTTAAAATCAGTTCCATTACCAGATTAATCAATGCTGAGCAAAAGTAATTCAAGTCTTTGCACTTTTATCAAAAGAAAAAGCAAGTAATTAAGGTTTATTTATTTACGGGCAGTGCCCTTTCGTACAAGTGTATTTAATTATATAAAATACAAGAAAAATAACATGATTTACTATAACTTAAATAATACCAAAGATTTCAGTACGTATAAATGTACTTAGATAAATACCATAGAAATCAATTTGGCTTCTTTTGTTCAAATTTCTAACTTGGAAATTTTTTTCTACTAAAAAGAAAAAAAACTATATTAAAAAGAAATTAGGTTCGAATATGGGATTTTATTATAATATTTTGAGTTGAGGGGAAAAAAATTCATCTCGCTTGACACATATCTTGAAAATGGACCAACCTAATAATATGTTCTTATCTGAAGCCGCAGCCAGCCATCCATTTGAGACTTGGATAGGATCGTTATATTGTGAGTAGCATAAGGCTGCGCTGAATTCAAGTCTGATCTTGGATTAAACAAAGGTGAAAGGCCTGGAATATGGGACACCCGTCTACGTGGGATACTTTAGTGGGCAGTGCCAAATGGTGGCCCATCAACATCCTTGATCCAAGCAACTTTCAAGGGATCCAAAACCTAAATACTTAGAATAATATATTACTCTCTCCAAATCAATTTTTCATCTTATTTCAAAATATATCAAATTATTTCCTACATCACACACGGAAAAAAAAAGTTCATCTTATTTCAAAATATATCAAATTATTTCCTACATCATACACGGAAAAAAAAATAGTTCGTGAAACTTTCGTAAACTAGTTGTTCACTTTTGAACGGGCCCCAAAGTTTGGAAATCTTTCATTAACTTTTTTTCAAGATTCCACAAACTTTTTTTTTGTGCGCGTGCGCAGACATTGATTGTCATCATGAAGAGAGTGATGAACATTCGTGAAATCTTGGAAAAATGTTAATGAAAGATTGGGACCGTCCAAAAGTGAAAAACTAGTTTACGAAAATTTCGTGAACTATTTTTTTCCGTGTAATATATATATATATATATAGTTTAATTAATTAAGCATTGATTATATATAATAATTGTCATATTTATACCCGTATATAAATACATGTGTATGTGAAAACAGCGATAAATTCTAGGAATTAATAATTTAATCTCTATTTTAGTTGGGAAAGACGCGAATTCACTAGAATGATTATTGACTAATTGATCAATGCGTCCTCATATGATTGCTAATTAGTGAATCTGATTCCTCATTAATTGTATTTTCTGTTATTTGTCCTGATTAAATTGCATGTTATTCAGAGACGAAATTATACAAATATTTAATTAACTCAAACGCTGAAAATAATGAAATAAAGGTTTATAACAGGAATATTTTATCAATAAGAATCAGCTAAAATTACAATCGGAATTACAATTACGGAACATAATTTATACATTGTTAAAAAAATATATAATTTGAATTATTTATAATATTGTAGAAATGATTATAAATTATAGATTTTAAATAATGTTTTAGTCCTGAATCAGAAAAAAATACTTTGATTCCAGAGATTTATTACTTTTAACATTTGAATTTGTATGATTGTTAACGATGGATATTTCGATATTTTATTTTGGAAGGGGTGATCTAACGGAAGAAGAAAGGAGGAACGGACCAAAGGAGCAACGCCCTCTCTGTCAGGGTCAGTAGCCTTTTGTGCAGGCATAGGTCAAAAAAATGTTATTTTTTTTATATTATTGTTAAGAACCAAAAGAATTAGTTTAAAATCCACTCTTCAAATGATAATTTATTAAATAATGTTTCAAGATGCACATATCTCAATTAGCATTGATACGTAATTTATTTCTTCCATCGAAATAGTTGTTTAAACAAAGGATATCGTTTATTATAATTAATATACTATTTAAATGTTGGTTACTGATTAAGTGATTAATTAATTAAATTTTGTTATTTAAAGTGTGGTGATTTAATGAAAGTAAAATTCCCAGACAGAAGGTGTTTCTATTACTTCATCCTAGAATAGACAGTGAACATCGAGACTGGTTTCAAGGTCGAGTGATCTAATCCATTCTAATGTATTCGTGAATATATTTTTCTAGTCCTAGTTAACCTTGGTTGTCTATGTCTGGGATTTTGTCTAGTCTGGTTCCGGACCTTGACCACCTCTATATGCAAACTATTCTCATCTGATTATTCTTTTTCATAGCTTTAGTATTTTTAAATCCATATCTATTTCACGGTTTTTAATTACTTTATTTATAATTGAATTATTTTAAATAGAAATATATTTTTAGCATTTTTTTTGTTTATATTTAGAGTTAAACTTTATATCACTTTGATTGGTAAATATTCTGAGTTGTAAAAACTGCAAATGTAAATGAATCCTAAAATATTGGGAGTTTTTTTTTTTTTTTTTTTGCTTGAAAGTTATAGTGGGATTTTTGAAAGTTTGTTTGGAAACAAGTGTTTTACACAAACTCACTGGAATTTTGTGAAGTTTAGACTGGCGGTTCCCAAAGGTCCTCGAAATCAAACGAGTAATTACCATTAATCCTTACTCCTTGACGTACCGAGTATGTGCACAAGGGTAATTAGAGTAGAACGTGCTCGTCCGAAAGCTCACAAACTTTTCTAAAAGTCTTCACATACAACGAGCAGCCAATTCAGTAGATTATTTCGTCGTTATCAGATTATAACATATAAGAATTACAAATCCAAAAAAAAAATCAAGTATTGATAAAAAGGAAAATTTTTTTCTACAAAAAAATGTTTGGAATGAACAATAACTTTAAAAAAGAATTTTTCATAATAATAATAATAACAGTTTTGTTTATAAGTAAATGAGTAACTTCAAAAAGAACAATATAAAAACAAAATTCCATAAACATCATATATGTTAAACGTGCATACAGGATTCGTATAACACGTTTGCAAGACACAATAAAAATCTTGGTGAGACGTGAGAGGAAATAGAAACTAGGCAACACAAATGCCTTCTTGTATATGGGTGTGTAATACATTCTACAAAAAAAAAAATAAAAAAACTTGTAAACCAACAAGTCAATGTCCGGGCTTAGGTCAGTGATTCGTCTTAGATTACATCATCGCATCTTTCGACAATTAGGATTTAAAAATCTTGAAAAAAAAACCTTCATGCTTCAAGTAACTTTCCACAGACAATAAATGGTTTGCTAATTTCAAATTTGAAATTATGTTCACTGCTAAAATCGCATGCGAATTGGATCCGTTATTTATGCAAATAACAAGTCATAAAACGAACTTCAAGGAAGTGTTCTTTTCTAAATTTAGAAACAAACAATTTCAGTGTTGTTGATCTTGTAAAAAAAAAAGATTTCGTCAACAGGTGATTAAATGAAGTATTTTAGTAAAATGACATTTGTCAGAAGAGGTATTAATTAATTCAAAGTAGAGAATTTAATACTTTTTCTCTATCAAAATACAGTATTGAATTTCGTATTCAAAATAACTTGTTTTTTAATATATTTTTTCGTGTAGTATTAAGAGAATAAAAAATATGTATGTTAAAACATTGAAGAGAAAAAAGAAAATTGAATTTCACTTTCTGCCGCGGTCGTCGTGGCAGCTGCTAACCCATATATAAATCTACAACTTAGGTAAATTTACAGCAGATTGAGAATGATCTAGGAACCAGAGGGTAGAAAAGTTGTCATAAAATGGTTTTATTCAGCGGAACAAACAGGCTAATCTCAGGCAAAGAAGCACCTCGAGTGCACCTCGCGTCCTTGTGAACGTCCTCATCTTACCTGCTAGAAAGTGAGAGATGAAAATTTTTGCAAAAAAAAAAAAGTCAAGTGACTTTTTATACAAGCCTTACTTTATTCATGAATTTGACACTGCTTTGTGCATCTTTTATATACACGCAAATTCGATATTATGCAACAATCTTTTTTTAAATTCTCAACAATTTTTTCCTCAAGTTTCAAGCGAAGTTATTAACATTTTCATAAAGATACATAATTTTCAAAAATTTCTTCAAATAATGATTGAAAGTATAATGAAAAATTTAATTATTGACTAAAACTTTACCTTTATGTTTGTTATATGCATTAATATTTTCTCGTAAACCAAGGCCGTCTTGCGGGTTAACTGTCTTGGATATAAAGAAGCACAGGATTCATTCACTAAGATCAGAAAATGGAATCCCTGCAAATCCAGGGTTAACAAGCTTCTCAGTTTACCGAGGAAATAATTTAACCTAACACAAAGTTACGACTGTAAAGAAGTTAACGATGAAAAACACAAATCTTTTAAAACATAAGAAGATCAATATTCTCTATATATTGTAATCAAACTAGCTTTTAGTTTCTTTCAAACAATATTTAAAATATTTTTTTTAAAAATACATAAAAAAGATAAAGTTCTTTTTGTCCTTTTTCTTACATTTCGGTACAAATAAATCTACGTTATCTTTGGAAAACTTTGAAAATTTTGTAATGACCAAAGCTTTTTGTCTCTAAAGCCTGGAGAATTAAAGTTAAAGTACTTTAGAAAATAAGAGGTTTTATACATATAAAAGTTTTTTTTTATGGACATTTTTAGTTTCATTTGCTGACACTATATATTTTCTGATGAGATATTTGTTTTCTTTTCTTTCAGTTGGTGAATGGTTTGGATGGACCAAGGTATATTTGCGAAACGGAAGTTATAGAGGCTCTCACAGGAAGCAACGTGGAATACGTCTCTCCTGGGAATCACACGAGCAAGAACGCTAACGGGAACATTATCACACTGACGCTCAAAAATAACCACCTCATCGTTGAGACCGAAGAACGTGCAGTAAGTACACGTCACATTCACTTCGTCAAAAATTTCAGATAAAATAGCAAAAAAAAAAAAAAACTATAACATGAATATAAGAGAAAACTCTTCTCCTCGCGTTTAATTTTCTGCCGCAAAGCAAGAGGAGTATCATTTCGGTCTCTCCAATTACCCAGTTTTTGATCTTGTTTCAAAACTTTTTTCTACTTATACTCTGCTCTAAAAAAAACCACTTGAGAAAAGTTCGAGTCATATAAACATAATTTTATTGTCTTATATTTATTCTTGTAATTTGCTTTTCTTTTTATTAATTTGGAAAAAACGTTTTTAGTTTTAAGAATAGTGAAACGAGAAGTTGAAAACAGATCGATTGTTGAATGAACTTAAGAGGATAAGATTTTAGGTGATTCAAAGATTCCTTTCAGATTTTCAAGAACAGATGTATTTTTAGTATATCCTTGTGGATTTCTTGTAATCAAATAGAAAACAAGAAAGTTCTCGATTTAGGGAAGGGCAAAAGCAATCAGTGCTATCGGTTTGAAAGTTCGAAACCAGACATAGAGAGTCCATTACTACCAGTTAAACGAAAGTTTCGACTTTGAAAGGTGCTACTGAAATTCCATTCATAGTTTCGTTCTATAGATAAACCATTTTGCAACTTTTAACTGTAATTAAAAGATTCCAAAAACTCTTCTCGATTTTATTGATTCTTTATTCTTTTTCTCTCTTTTAATAAACGTGGCACCTTTTTTCTAATTAACTTGGCTTACAATTCTAATTTTACCTTTAGCTTTATACATAATAGTCATTTTTTTTGCACTTATTAATTAAGGTTGATTGTAGGGATTATTAGGGTGAAAATTCTATTGTTTTCATCGATTATGCAGAAACTTTGATAAGCAGAGGATGCATTTAATTAATTTCCAAACTCTCTCTCTCTACACTTATCAGCTTCCTTCACTAAGTACTATAACGATCAATCGATATTCTCAAGTTAGAGTGATAATTCCTCACACGCAGGGATATTCGCAATTTCTCGCGCCACGTGAGGAACTGATTTTGTAATGTGAGAAACCAATTATTTCAATAAACGCAATTTTATTGATAATAAAATTAATATTATGAAAATAAATTATTGAAGCAATAAATGTTTATTGAAATTTGTGAAAAGACATTAAAAATACAAGGGACAGGAAAAGTCTTTGAAATCCAATTCCAATTCCCCCTATAGAGCGAAGCACTCGTTCAAGGGTAGCACACCCCAACGTTATTTCAGAGCTACCCACATCAAACATTCATTTCCTGAGCTCAATTCCTCTTGAAGAGGACTTTTCTCGCAATGAGAAGGATGCAATCAAGAATTGAGGAAGCACAATGAATGTGCCTTACAAGTTTTGATTTGACTATATATACATGTATCTCACTTCCATATAAATTTGCAATTATCATCAGGAATGCGATAGTTTCTCTCCCTCTCTCTCTCTTTCTCCTAAGGTCGAAGGTTACTGGGTAATTTCGCAGTGTCTTCTATCGTCCTAGTTCTGTCGCAAGGTTATCCGTGAAAGCTCATCTTAGAAGGCACTTGTCAACTCCAGAAGCCGAGTTTAAACGACGAACAAAGCTTTCAGAACAAGGAAAGGGCGTGGAACTTGGGACGACGATGCTGTAGGATTCAGGGAATTCAGGAAATTCAAGGAGATGTCGACGTGCTCACAAGAGCATGCAATTCTCGTCCTTTAAGGATCAACAAACACGGATGATGTAATGGTTTCAATTATTAATATTATATTATATTATATTATACTACGAGGCACTGTATAATGATTATGATTTTTTTTTGCATTTTTTCTTTCTTCTAAATATTTGAATTAGTATAGCTATAAATCTGAAATTTAGATTTATTTAAATAAAAGAAATTTCTGTTTTCAAAATGAAAATAAGGTTTCATATTGATTTATCATATTTCATATTATTTAACATCATTCAGGAAAGCTCACGCAATATGTTTAAGCATCCGAGGGAAGAAAATGCCGAGAATTCCTTATCATCATAGCATCTGGCTCTCTGCCATACGGCAAGTCATTGCGCACAAAACCACAAATATTATTCTATTTTATTATCATCTGCAGAGAAATTCTATTAACAATATTATTGTTTTTTGTAGACCAAAGACTAATTTAGAGAATATTTATATGGAAAAGGAGAAGAAAATAAAAATATTTTATTCTTCTACTGGTTAATTTTAAAAATACTGATGAAAGCTATGTCACATTTTGTGCACGTAAGTTTGGTTTTTTAAAGCAGGAATTCCAATATGTCCACGATATAAGGTCGGAACTTGCCCTACCGGTCTCTTTTTAGATTTCTAAAGGTTTCCTTGTTGAAGAGTCACGTATAAGACACTTCTATATCCGATATTCCTCCAGCAATAGCGAAATAAAAATATAAATAACGTGACTCTAGTACTGAAAGCAGGAAATGAAAGAAAGAGGAATTGCTGAAAAGCCCCCGACAACAACGTTTAGAATTCTCGTGGGACCAATAAAATCAATGTATTTAAATAAGGCACGCTCCATTTGTCGCTTTTCTGTACAATTTACGTTTAGATTTCTCGCTCGTGTTAATGAAAGCTTACAACAAGCATGTCTATGTCTTTTTTTTCTACATTCACCACTTTATTCTTTAATTTAATTTTCTCAATATTTTTCAATATTCATTGAAAAATTCAATATATGCATTAGAAACATATGTATATTTATTTTCCATAATTTTAATAAATCCTGATTATACTTTTTTCATTTCAACTAGTGTGTTACATACAATAGCCATCCATATATTCACCCAAAGAGATATTTGATATTTCTTCTCTTGAAGCGTTAAATCTCTGATTTCAATTTTAAATTAATTGTTTCATCTCCGAAATTGATACCTATACATTCCTCATTTCAGAATATTGAGGATTAGGTTGCGCTAGTTTCGAATTTTCGATTAAATTCGATACAAGAAATTCAGGAATTTGAGAATTGATAAATTTTTTAATATTCTATGAAATATATTTTTTGAAAAACAAGATAATAATTTTCATATTATACAGGGTGTTCCAAAAGTATGGAAACTTGCAAATATCTCGAAAAGTACGAATTTTTGTAAAAAATGTTCCAGACAAAAGTTGTTGCAAACAAAAAGATGTACATCTTTGAAACCAAAAAATAGGGACCGGAGTCCAATGTTGGGCCCTATACAATGAAAAAAGTAGTTTTCTTAAATGAGACCACTAATTTTCAGTATCAAATTCGTAATCCCCATGAAATTCTGCGTTCAGACATGTGGTATAAGTGCCCAAAATATTGGGCCCAATCCAAGATATTGGGTCCAAAATTTATCAACAGCTAAATAAATTTTAAAAAATCGCATCTTGGAGGGATTTTGAGATCACAGGATTAGAAATTAGATGCTAATTTTCAAATTGGGCATAGAGCCCAATTACGAAATGGAAGGAAACTAATTTTTTTACTGTTGACCTCACATTGGGCTGCGGAATCTTACATTGGGCTCTGTGCCCAATTTGAAAAGTAGCTTTGAATTTCTAATCCTGTGACCCCAAAAACCCCAAAAGATGCGATTTTATAAATTTATTTATTTGTCAAAAAATGTCGAGCCCAACCCCAGACATTGGGCCCAATATTTTTTGGCTTTTGTACTACAAGTTTAAACCCAGAATTTCATAACGATTCTGAAATGGATACTGAAAATTAGTGGGTTTTATTTAAACAATTAATTTTTTTTAATGTAGGCCTCACATTGGGTCGCGAAATCTTACATTGGGCTTTGTGTACAATTTGAAAATTAGCTTCGAATTTCTAATCCTGTGACCCCAAAAACCCCTAAAGATGCGATTTTTTAAATTTATTTATTTAACGAAAAATGTTGTGCCTAATCCCAGACATTGGGCCCAATATTTTTGTCATTTTTACTACAAGTCTAAACCGAGAAATTCATGGGGATTACGAATTGGATACTGAAAATTAATGGGTTTTATTTAAGACAACTAATTTTTTTTACTGTGGGCCTCACATTGGGTGGCGGAATCTTACATTGGACTCTATGCACAATTTGAAAATTAGCTTTCAATTTCTAATCCTGTGATCTCAAAATCCCTCCAAGATGCGATTTTTTAAAATTTATTTATCTGTTGATAAATTTTGGACCCAATATCTTGGATTAAGCCCAATATTTTGGGCACTTATACCACATGTCTGAACGCAGAATTTCATGGGGATTACGAATTTGATACTGAAAATTAGTGGTCTCATTTAAGAAAACCAATTTTTTCATTGTAGGGCCCAACATTGGGCTCCGGGACCAATTTTTTGGTTTTAAAGATGTACATCTTTTTGTTTGGAACAACTTTTGTCTTAAACATTTTTTACAAAAATTCGTACTTTTCGAGATATTTGCAAGTTTCCATACTTTTGGAACACCCTGTATATTTTGGAAAATAGTATATAATTTTTCCCCTGACATAAATCGAAATAACAAAAATTGTTTATATGGAAATTTTGTTTTTTAAAAAAGGCATATTAGAAAAATCTGATTTCTTCTAAATATTTAGGAAATTCGATTTCTTCTTTTCTGTTTATGTATATAGGTACTTATTTGAAACCATGCACACACACACACACACACACACAAGTTCATTTTCGAATTTCGAAAGTTTACAATAGCAACTCCTGTTTGTACTAAACTCAGGATTTCATACATGAACAAATATACCTCAAAGTGAGTTCAATATCGAGAAACCATCTGTTCTCGCTTATAAAATCGCAACAATTTTCAAAGGGACAATCGAATTTACAAAACATAACATGTAGACTTATTTTTTAAAAAAGAGTTTTCAATTTAAAAGGAATTTTGTATAATTAAATTTTGAAAATCAATAAGTTTATTAAATCCTTTAGTGTAAGGGAGAAACGAAGTTTCGTGTAAAAGAAGAAGCTAGAATAATTTAAGAAACTACCTACCATCGATTTGTTGCATACAGGAGGGGTGGGTTTATTCATTCAATGGCCAGACGGACTTGTTTGCAAGGAGATTGAATCAGAACTATGCCAACTGGTTAGATAGGTATATGTACAAGTCGAATGACCCATTTCTATCTCAATTTGCACCATCAGGAACAAAAAATATATTTGTTGCATTAATATGTCTCATCAAATAGGTTTCAAGCTAAAAAAACAGTTGTTATCATTTAATATTTAATTAAATTATTAATAATCTTCCTAAGTTTATATAAGTCATCCTAAAATAGTATGTATTCTTTTCCCAGAAATGGGAATCTATTGTAATTTCAGTGATTTTTCTTTTCGAAACTCTCGTTTCATGGGATATTGAAGATAAAGATTTTCTGCAGATTTTCCAGAATAATGTCACCCTCAATCTTCGAGGTATAAAGATTATGTTTTCAAGTTCTATATCTATATATGTACCGGTTTGAAAGCAAAAACGATATTTCAACTCTGTGCACGTAATATGATAGGACAGCTTTAAAAAGTGGAGCGGAGATCGATGTGCCGAATGGCAAACCAAGTGTACAAAGTACGCGCGAAAGGCCTCATAGATAGACCTGGTCATCTGTGATAATTCATAGCAATTTAATGAACCTATAATAGTATAACCTACAAAGTTCATCGGTCGAGAACTTTTTTATCACTTGACTTAACTTGCTGAAAACTTTCATTGACTCTTGCAAATAATTTTGTTTACCTTTTTTTTTTGGCGAAAATTATTTTCCTTCATTAAAAAAAAAAATGATTTTTTATTTTTAAATACGAAATTCAAGTCTGTAATAATTGGAAGCGTCTTTTTTTGTCCTTTGGATTTTCAAAGGTCGTTTTCGTACAAGACTTATAGTCATTATCATTTGCTTTGATGTTTTAAAATGGTGGAAATTCTTTTGCCAAAGGTAACGATGGAAGACAACAAGAGTAGAAAATACCAGGACAATAGCTGTTCTTTTGTGGTGGAAGTTCAACCTGGCTACCAGAGCGATGAAGCTGATGTCAATAGAGGATCATCTGACGACATGCCCGGAAGGGTAACCGATCAGCAAGCATTGGTGCACCGTGAGGAAATTCCCGAAGATCGCTCCTGCGGTAAATATTATCCTCAATACACATCTTACTTCGATGCACTATCCAATAGTGAACATCAGATTTACAGCTTTTCAAGAATGTTGATTTTTCTCTAAAGGAAAAATATAATCAAATTTTACGAACCGTGTTCAACAATTTTCCATTATAATTTGAAAAGAAACATTTTTAATCAGCATAATTTTATTTAAAATTATTTTTACCAAATACCACATTTTAGAGTTTTAAAATTCTCGACTAAAAATAATTTTTCATATAAATAATTTATCAATTATTGGTTTTTAATAAACGAAATTTATAGTGAATTAAAATGGTTTTGAAAGAAAAAAAATTGTAGGTACAAATTTTCTGATATGGTTATGGTCAGGCCAATCTGGTTTGTTCAACCATTAGTGAAATTGTCACTGGATTTCGATTCTGGTTGACCTAGTTTAATCCTTGACGTTTGTTACTAGTGCAATGTATGTAATTGCGAGCACACGACAATATTACGACTTGTCGAGTCACAGTTAATACCGTTATAACATTCCTCTTCATATTCACTGTCACCACTAATTTCTTTTAAACAACATTTTTTGTACGAATAAAGTTGAAATAAAATTAAAAAAAATATTGAGTAATTTCTCATTCACAATGAGGATAGAAAAATAGAGTATAAATTTTTGTTTAAAAAAATATATATTTGACAAAAAAATGATAACTAATAATAATTTTTTCAGGTTTCGAAAATACGAAGCTCTTTGGGAGTACTAATACCGGCCTTTCACAGTCTGATCTGTCTATTTGCAGTCAAGGTTCAGTTAATCCGAGTTATCGATACGGAAATCAATTGGAGTACGATGCCGGTCACTTTGGCTATGCTATTTACGATTCTGATTCCCAATCAAGGAAGCTGGAGGGTTCTTCGAAATGGGTTGAATTCGATAAGTCACCAGACATTGATAAAACATTAATAACAGATTACAAAGCACCAAGTATAGAGAAGGACACGAGTGACAATGTAAGAAACAATTAATAAATATTTATTTTCAATTTTGAAAAAAATAATTTAGGTTTTCCAAAACTCTCTCACATACGCAGTCGTTTTCTCATTTTTATTTCTCTTACTCGTCCCCCTGAAAGTTCAAAGATAAAAATAGAGGTAGCGAAGCAAAATTAGTATACAAGTTACACGGCTCATCTTTTCATTCCACAAGATTAAAAACTATATATTCTTTTACAATTCCAAAAAATCGAGGGGGAATTTACTTTGGTAGTCAAGTGTACACTTGCCTGGTAATACTCGGTAATACCTGTATAATATCTGTAATATTTTGTAATGCCTTGTAATAATAAGTATTATTGTGTGATATCATGTAATACTATGTAATACTTGTAATATTGTGGTATTATGGTGTAATACCTTAAAAAATTTAAAGAAAATCAAACCAAAAAATGTTAATATATATAATTTTAAACACTTATTCAAATGTAGCGCGGGAGTTGATGCTAAAGTATAACAACTTTGCCAAAAAAAATGCACGAGGCTTAGGTAGTTTGTGTTCGTGGTTTAAGATAGCAAAGAACCAAATATTAAACGTTATAAACATGGAGGCTCACGGATATTATAATGTAGAAAATTATATTTGTTCAGTTCCTCGTTTAAAAATAAAAACAAATAAGTTATATCTATCGTGTTCTTTAAAAGAAATTTCAAAACATTTAAAATAATACTGTTATTTACGTTTTAAAAAAGAGAATTTTATTATTTTCTTATATAAGTATGGTAAATACACTAATTGCGGCGCGATTCGAGTCAAAACACCTTTGAAATAGAAAATTTGACATTTCTATTGTATAAACTCAATTTATGGTCTTATTAAACTAAAAGGTTATATTATTTAGATGTTAAAAAAATGTTTAACTTTATAAAAATCGATTATTTAAACAAATATGAGAAATTAAAACTAATACCGTAATTTTCTATTGCGGCGCGTTTGTATCAGTTTCGGTGTATCAATTTCGGTGACCAAAAGTACGTGTATTTTGAAGATACTTTGCCCGCCGAAATTAGAGCCAATGGAAATATTAAAAATGTTTCAATTACGGCGAGGGAAAAAATTTGATCTCAAATAATTTAATTAATAATTGTTTAAATGTGCATCTTCATTAGTAATTGTATCAAAAAAAGATTAAAATAATTTTTTTAAATCATTTTGTAACAGTTATATTAAATATAGTATAGCAATAATAGTTATTTTTTATGAACGCGCCGTAATTGTAGGGGAATAGTGTCAGGGTTGGACACTTAGCTTTTTTTAAATAAGAACACTAGCGCCACCTGTGTGCGTACGTGATGAATCTTCTAGTAGTGTAACCTAACTTTTTGTGGCATTACATTTTTGGAGAATCAAAAGTAGCGTCTCCTGTGACTTCGGTGCAATCGAAGAGACAAAAAAAGTTTTGTTTGACTTGTGAATAAACCTAAAAAATGTGTAAAAAAAGCAAGAATTCGGCAACATAAGCTTATTGAATGTATTGTGGGTTACATAATTTAAGAAGAAAAAAAGTGAAAAATCGAATCGCGACATATGTCTGGTTATGGTTAGCACAATTCGAAAATGATGCTTCTAGTTAGGGTTGGACACTTTATACAGTTAGGGTTGGACACCCATATTAATTATGAATTTGACACAATTTATAAATAAATAATTATAAATTTTATTTTATTGATATTTCAGTGCAAAATTGTGCCAAAGATATTAGAAAAATAATACTTAAATTGAGGGTTCACATGCAATAAGGGGATACGCATGAAAGTGAAAGTCCCCGCGTACAGCGATTCTGCGGCTGCGCGAGGGGCTAACGAAAATACTGCGCGTCCCCTTATTGTATGTGAACCCTCAATTGTATAAATTTTGTTCATCATTTCATTGAGTTATTTGGAACAATAAAGCGTTATTTTTTGTAATTTGAGTTCATTCCTTTTGTAAACCCATGAAGCTTCACAATTTGTAAACAATAAGTAAAGATATATATGAAAAAATAAGAATAAAAAACCTTACAAATGTTATTTTACGTTTTTACCAATAATGCGTTTCGATTTTCAAAAAGTGTCCAACCCTGACTGAAAAGTCCAACCCTGACTAGATTTTTTTTTTTTTAAATGTTTAAAATTTTTTTTAATTTTGGACCAATCAATTTACGGTCCACAGCAAAAGTGTTCCTCTTTTGTAGATCTTTCCACCCATATACCACAATTGACTGAATTTATCTAAACAAAATATTTATAAACAAAAAACCAAAACTGTGTCCAACCCTGACACTATTCCCCTATATTGTATAATTATTTATAGTAAGTGATAGAATCTAGATTGCTGTCCGTATATGTAAGGTCAAATATGGTATCTGGTACTATCTAGATAGTACCCCGTACCATCTATTTCTCTCCGTGTATTTGACGTGTAATATTTTTTGTAATAAAGGGTAATACTCAGTAATATATGTGTAATACTTTGTAATACAGTAATATTTTGGTAGTAGTATGTAATACTTGTAAAAAGTGTAATACTAAGGTAATAATGGTAATATGTGTAGTTGTAGTCAAGTGTACACAATTTTTACTAGTAAATTCCCCCTCGCAAAAAACATCTTTAGTCTACTGTAAAGAGTATTGTTTTTTTTAAAAATAATTTGTCCTTTCAGCTTTCATTTCAAGAGAACTTGAATAGCTTGGAGTCTCCTCAAGAGTCAGGTTCGTCATTTGAACATCAGGATTCGAGCGATATGAGCCTATCGACTGACACAGTTAGATCAAATCCTAATCTTCAAGTGAATGGAACAACGCCAAACAAACTTGAGCTTATGGAACAAAAAGCTCTTAATAATGACTTTGGCCAAATAGAAATAATAACAAAACCAATTATTACCGGTGCAATTCTTAAAGAAGATGTTGCACAAGAAGACACTTTTCAGGTAAAAAGTTATTAATTAATTTCGATGGAATAAAGTATGTAACTAATTGAATTAAAATGTAACAGGAGCAGCAAAGGAAGCTTGGCAACGGGACACTGACCCCTGAGCATCACAAGGCCGAAAAGGTGAAAGATCAAAAGGCAGAGAGCAGTACTTTCGTTCCCTGCCACAAACGAACCGGAAGCATTCCACCGAGATTGATCGAAGAGACCTTGGAATTGGAGCGGAAGAAACTAGACATTTATAGTCAGATCAAGACCAGTACGAAGAGTATACTACCGGCGCTAAGTCCCAAGTTCGAACTCCTTCAGAACGAGGTCAGTCCGATCGAGGAAAAGGAAAGTTAATCCGTCCTGAAAGATTGCAACCAGGGACTCTCACATTTTCAACTTGTATATGCATTCCAAAAGTGATGGATCTTTATATATTCATAAAAACAACTCTTCAGTAAACTGCATTCGAAAACAAATTGTGTTAATCACAAATTTTTTCCCATTTGGTAAAATTTATTCCTATGATGAATAAGATTAATTTTTAAATATTTTCATTAACTTTCTTTTATGTACCTTAGTCAAATCGTTATTCATCAAAAATTGAAAATTTTTTTCATTTCAATAAATATTTTGAAAAAAAATGAAATTTTTTGCATTCACTAAACAAACTTTCAGAAAAGTTGGCACTTTGATTTTTTCGTAGTAAATCTTCGTATTTCTTCTGAGAGTTCAATTTCTCTTTCCTCTCGTATTTCTCTCGATGGTAAAATGAGGATAATTTCCAAAGTCCGACAATCAAGAAAATTAACCGATTGCCAAGGGTAATTTTCAGAGAGATCAGATTCAAGAGAATAAAAAAAGTTTCGAGAATTAACTACCAGAAAAGGAACAGGTGAATAATTAAATTGGTCAAATGGAGGAAATGTATATTCTAGTAAAACGAAGCCTGATAGTAGCCGACAATGTGATCTAATGAACCTGCAACCCACACTTAAAATTTTTTTTTTTTCATTTTGTGTATTTCATCTATTCTCTCCTTTTCTACTGCACTTTCCTTTTGTTTCTCTGGCACACTGTCTTTTTCCATTTCTCTGAAACTCACCATCGCACTAAATTTAGCAACCAAGACATTCAAAGTACACAAAACAATTGCTAGCTAACGAACTTGCATTGCAGTGCATATGCATAGAATGACATTATATATATACTCCACCTACAGCAGTAAGTGGATTCATTGTTTTGTCAACTAAATTGCACTGTATAATAATGTAATTTTCCATTTGCGTGCCGACTAAAATATTCTATGCAATTACTACCAATGCTCGTTAATTATAACTATTTTATCATTATAATAATATTGATTTCCGAATATACACGACTTCATTATATCATAAAAGCGATGTTTTTCATACATTTTTTTCATAATTTTATCAATTTGAATAAGATTATTTTTTTTAATAATAAAAATTAAAAACTTAGGAAAATTTTGTAATTTCCTTTCTTTTGTTACTTATTGTGAGACGCGAGACGAAATCGGGAATCAGAAGTGATGTGAGCTTCAGTATATACACATTGGGGGGTGGAAACGCTTGCAAAGTTATAATGGAACTACCGCCGAAACCGGAAATGGATACTAGGTATCCAATTCAGCAAAAGTAAATCCTTCTCGTTCCCACTGTAATTCCGAATTGGAAAACTTGCAAGAGGCGAACGAGAGACTAAACTCGCTTTTATACGCATGGACAGTCAACTGATCTAGTAGAAATTATTAGAAATCGAACTTTGACATTTCTTTACCAAAAAAAAAAAAAAAATTTCAAAAAAATTTTACATCAATCAGTAAAAAAAACCACACGTTTTTTATATGATTTAAAAGAAAAATTAAAAAAAAACTTGTGGACTTTCTAGAAAGTAAATGACAAATTAAAGAAAAGAGTAGAGCAAAAAAAATTTCCATGGAGAAGGAGGGGGACAAAAACATCTGTCACGACAAAGTCGTGTACATTTTAGATAAGAATTGATAAGACATTTTTTGTATAATGGTAGTGAGCCGAAGACGATTTCAAGTATATATTATGTATAGCTAGAGGCTATAAAAAAAGCGTACCAACTTTAATAACAATTTTTTATGACACTGATGTGAAAGGAACTCGAATATAATAGAAAAATAAGAATTACGAATCTTTAGGTAATAAGTAACTAATTATAATAGGCATTAAGAAAAATACTTGTACTTTAAGTCATACAAGTGGCACTCAAGTGCTAAATAAATAAATGATGTTTTTAAATTCTTAGCTTTTCAATAGTAATTTTTTATTTCACTTTATGTTTCGTTTAATAAAATATTATTCATAATGGTATCCTAGATAGCACGTAAGCTTGCAGTAACCTTGCGGCAAGCTTACGGCGCAATATTGTCAACTTTGCACGGCAAACTTCAAATGTCCCACCTGAAACAAGCTTGCATGGTAAGCTTACCGAAAGATTGCACTGTATGGTTACTGCAAGATTGCTCAGAAAGCCTACCGCAAGATTGCTCAGTAAGCTTATAGCAAGGTTGGTACAAGGGTACCAAATAACCTTCCATTGAACCCACAACAATTTTTTTTTAATGTTTCGTCTAATTTATATAATAAAATTTATATAATAAATAATTTTATTTAAAATTATATAAATTAGACGAAACATTAAAAAAATAATGGTTTTAGGTTCAAAGCAAGGTTATTTGGCAACCTTGCACCAACCTTGCTATAAGCTTACTGTGCAATCTTGCGATAATCTTATTGTGCAATCTTGCAGTTACCATACACTGCAATCTTTCGGTAAGCTTACCATGCAAGCTTGGTTCAGATGGGACATTTGAAGCTTGCGACAAGTTTGCCGTGCAAGGTTGGCAATATTGCGCGGCAAGCTTGCCGCAAGGTTTCCTGCAAGTTTACGTGCTATCTAAGTACATTTGACTATCTTTTGTATGTATTGTATAGAATATATATCTGTTTTCTCGAAAAGCTGAAAATAAAAACATCATTGGATGATGTGAATTCTAATAGTGCCAAAATAGTTCCTTAAGTCGCTCATTTCATAATAATACATTATATAATGCGATGGATGTTCATGAACTAATATTCTATCTACGTTTCTTGTTTAAATAATTCGTTACCAATATTTCAAATTTTATTATGTTATATGTCGTATAATACTGATGTTATATATTGTTATACAAAAAAAAATGCTGTAGAGCTAATTGTCAGTAGAATAATTTTTTCCATCCTGTTGCACTAATGCAGTTATCACTGTGCACACATTTCACGTCCTTTTACATTACAAAAATATACTTATAATTAAGATGAATAATAATTTCAAAACTAAGGCAGAATTTTAATTTTTGTGCATTAAATGTTTATATCAATACAGTAGTAATATCGCGGTAATTTAGAGATTATATCTAATGGTTGACTTTAATAATATAATAGTTAAGAATATATATTTTCTGTAGAAAAAAAAATTAAATTACTTATTTAATATAATAAGTTTTATTAAAGAAATTTAATATAATAATTTCTTTATATGTACTTAAAAATTTGATATTTCATTTTTTTTTAAATGCTGGTCCGAATTTAAAATAAAAATTTTATTTCATATTCCAATTTAGTTTTATATATGAAGAGTATAAAAAAATTTATTTTGTAAATATTATGAAAAAAATGATTTAAAAAAATAATTCAAACTTTGAATACGGGCCTGTTTTAATCAACGAATAAAAATTTTGTTGCGTCCATTAAAAAAAAAATTTTATATAAAAGAAAAATAATGGGTAATTATCTCATTTATCATGTTATTATTATTTAATATTAAGTAAGTTTAAAGTAAGCTTGACTGGAATAGCATCTATACTAAGGTTCCTGAATGTCTCATTTACTTTGATTTTACACAAAACAAATCAATCTTTTGCTATAGAACCCATTAGAAAATAATTTCTTTCAAAATTATCTTTAAAACATAATTGCCTAATATAAAATTTTCCAACTTTTACTTTTTTATATTTTTGATTTCGAAAATTTTGCATGAAAGCTCTTTTCATTAATGTATAATATGTGAATGAAAGTTTTACAAAAGAGAAATGTTATTTGTTTCATGTGAAGAAAATTTTTGTGCAAAATAATTTTTCATACTTAACAAAAAATAATTGAATAGTATAGCTATAGCTAGAGAGATCGAATGTAACAGTAAATATATTATGAAAATTATTGTAGATTGAACATTTTCTAAGTTTCTACAGTAATATGATTTAAATTTATTTATTTATTTAATAATTAGTAGAAATAATTTAAAAAAAAAAATAAAGCCTTGAACCTCAGTTAATTTCTAAACGAGGCTATAGACGCTCAGTTGGTTAACCGTTTCATTCCAATCAATTAAATATAAATCTAGACGTAGAGAGAAGCACTCGTCTTTTAACAAAGTATAATTGGAGGGCGTGTAACTTTGTAATTCCTAAAAATAATTCTCTAGACTTATATAAAAACACATAATTTACATATATAACTGATTTGTGATATTATTATGTATTGAAGGAAATGTTTTATGGGGAATAAATTTTGTCATATAGTAACAATTATATGCTAAAAAAAAGAAAAATTAATCATTTCTCATTTTACTGTCATTGTATAATATAACCCATGTTGCATAGAAAATGTGGTCGTGGTGAATCAAAAACCGAAAGTAGCATTTGTTAACATATGACACTCGACGTATTAAGAGTGTGATTTATTTCTGCTGTACTGCTGATATGTCAATTTATTTTGCAAAATAAATTTAAGAAAGAGAAAAACCAGACTTTTCTTATTTAATTGTTTATGAGAAAATACTTTTTTTTTTAATTTACTATTTCAAAGACATGTTAAATTTTTTCCTTTTAATTTACTTTTTGCGATAGAAGGTAACAACTAAGTTTAAATTCTTAAACAATTTTATTTTCGAAGTTAAATATTAAATTATTGATCTAAATTTGAAATATTCCGTAGTTCTGTAATGAAAATTTTATATATTTTAAATTTTACCAGATTTAAAAATATAGAAGCAGAATATTAATTAACAATTAAAATATTATATATCAACTGATGGTATGAAGTTTAATATTGGAGGTTGATAAGAGTGATTATTATTAAATTCGGTGAAATCAATAAAAGAAGAGAATTTACCATCAGTGAGAAACGAAAGCTTTTATCCGCGGGGGTTGCAACCCTTAAACGGGAACAATCGCGACATCTGTAGAATGTAACTAAAGATAAAAAAAAATTTCGATTACAACGACACCTAAGGTTAAACTTGTTTGCCGGAAAGTATGACTGAATTATGCATGCGCGTTTTTAATTCGGTAATCAATAGTAAAAACCGCCCACGAATCCCTTTCTTCCCTCTTCACCTCTTCATCTGGACCATGCCCAGATACAAGCAACCCTCGTTGACCCCAAATGGGAGGGTCCCAGACAAAATTCCTCAAATTCTTTTAATATATATTTTTAATTAAAAATCTGACAGATATTTTTAGGATATGATTTTACAATGTTATAAAATTATCAAATCCTAATTACAATTTTATATTATTTGAAAAAAGTAAAATTGCCGAGCGATTAATTTAGAAAGAGTTTAAATTATTGACGAATTTTAAATTTATTACTTTTTCTATAGTTAATTAAAAAATTTATTAACTTTTATTATTAATAATCAATATCCGTGAAAATTAAAGAAACTGTGCTGAAATAATCACTAATCTTAATCAATGACCGGATTTTGGTCTTTGAAATTAACCCAACTTGAGTTATTCATAGAACATCACATTTAAATTACATCATAAATTGAATTACTCTAAAGAGGTTGAAATTCACAGTAGTGGCTTTTACGAAAGTCCTTTTAATACCTTCTTAAATTATAGAGTCTTGACACAGATATGGGTTCGAAACTAAAATAAAATTTTCAAAAGGACTTAAAAGAAATTCATATTCCTCGTAGCAAATGCGTATATATAAATTAATAAATAATTGTAAAATAATATTTTAATAGAATCGAAAAAAGTTGAAAATTTAGTGAAACACAAAGATTCGTTTTTGCGATAATAAACTGTTACTACCAGATATGTCCGCTTAAAACAAAAAAAAAGAAGAAGAAGAGCACACTGAAGGAGGCAATGATTTTAAAGAGTGACTCACAAGAAAATGTCAAACAGAAACTTTTTTTTAGGAAAGCATAACCAAATTTTGTATAGAAAAACATTTTTGTGATTTTGATATTTGTTTATTATAACAAAAATGAAACTTTGTGTGTTACGATAGACACTTCTTAAATTGAATACATTATTTCATTCAGCATTGAAAAGATATTGTATTGTTTTCATCGAAACAGGTGTTTTTGATAATCTGCTAATCGTTCGTTAGTGAAAATTATCTGCGCAATATATTTTCAAATCATACCGTAAATAGATTGATTATATATGCTTTCGAGATAAGTCTTTTACACAATTGATTTTATTTATTTTATATATATACATATATACCTTTATATAATTAATATTCCCGAGTCGAAATTTGAATACTCTTTAGCTGTTAGCTGTAAAAAAAAAACAAAAAAAAATACTTTTTCAATTATTTTTATTAAAGCAAAATGAAATTTGTTTTCACAAAATTTCTTTTTAATTACCCTTTAAAAACTGGAATTAATATATTTTCAAGTGTTTTCAAAAAACTAATAGAATTAGAGTAATTTTAAAATTTTCAAAATTTGAATCAATTTTTAGGCTCTACTTTAAATCGAAAAAAGAGGAATTTGCGCACATCCACACTGCAAAAAAAAGTATCTTAATATAAGATGTTTTGGCAGTAACTTTTAAAACGTTTTGGTAGTATCTTTTTAGTTAGGTATTTAAATTGTCTTATTTTAAGATGTTATAATAGGAATAAAGCATCTTAATATTAAAATTAACATCTTATTCTAAGATGGAAGCGAATGGAACTTACCATTTCCATCTTAACATCTTGTTTTAGGATACCAAGAAGATACCTATTTTTGCAGTGCAAAGCAGCTAATGAGGGTCTGTTTAACCCTACCACAGAAAACTAAAAGGTATTAAAATAAGCTGCAACGCTTCTTATTTTAATCAAATTTTTCTTATTTTAATCCATTTTGGTATTAAAATAAGTAAAAATGGATTAAAATAAGAAGCGTTGCAGCTTATTTTAATACCTTTTAATTTTCTGTGACTTTATCTCCTAGAAAAGTAGGTCTTAAAGAACCCCGCACCATATACATGGGAATTTGGGGTCCGGTGAAATTTTTTGCAACTTTGTAATTTTGTAGTTTTTGACCTCCTGAAAAAAATGTAAATGGCAAAATTCAAAAAAATGGACAGATTTTTTAATAATTAAGGGTTAGACAGGAAAAAATAAATTTTGTTTCAAACCTTGAAAGAAGCTAGTTTCAATATGGGACACAAACTAGACCGAATGTAGTTTCTAACTCGCTCATAGCATAAGACTTACTTTAAGCCTACTGTAGGGGCTAACAATAAGCTGCCTTTTGAAATAGAAAGTATCCACAAGCCCGAACCTGGGCTTAAATCAAGCCACTGCGCGGTATAAAAATTAGCTAACATAACCTAAACTTTTATGAAACCTATAAACACCATATTATTGAAATTTTACACAAGTTTTGAAACATCAAACAACATTTTATTGATATATATCATACTTTATATATAAAACATAAAGAGACCAATTTATTTTTGTATATAATTTATATATTTTTATATTTGTGAGAAAATTGTAATAAAATTATGTTGTATATATAACATTATTTTCACACTCATAACAATTAAAGCTGAATTTATAGGACACAAACAATTCATGATATGAAAATGTTTTATAAAAATAGTTTTTAAATTTTTTATACAGGAATGAAGATGTGAGTCTTTTGAATTAATTCATTTAGTTCCGATTAACTATAGAGGCGTCACATTTTTGGAAAGGCGTCTTTACATTCGGGCACTTTCGTTGTACGTCTAGTTACAACTCACTAGTATCTAGACCTCATGGGCTTGATTGAAGACTTTTAACGTCTCATTTCTAGCGAATAAAATTTTATATTGAGTCCAAGACCACAAAGGCTTGTTTTGAATCTAATAGAACTAAATATTTGTCATATTAATATCTCGTTTTTCATTAAGACCTTAACGGCTTATTTTTAAACCATTATTTGTGATTGATATTAGTTATCAACTACTTTCTAATCAAAATTAAAAATTAGACTATGCTCGGAGTAAGACTTTTTTTTCCTGTGTACAAAGTTGCAGAAAATTTCACCGGACCCCAAATCCTCATGTAAATGGTGCAGGGTTCTTTCGCTTGAATTTAAAAAAAAAATAGTAAACAAATATTCTGCAAAAATACTGACATTAATTATTTATATATTTGAAAAAAAACAATAGGAAATTTCTTTTTCGAAATTCTGTATCATACAATAGTCATAAAGTGTATAACGTGTCGTAGAATAATAGCATGATGATGAGATTGAAGTATGAAAAGCAAACGATTAGCGAAGATTTAATTGTGACGTCTGCTTGTGTGTATCTTTTCAAGTTCTAGGAGTGTAGGCACCGCTATAAGAGAAGCGGCGGGGGTAGTTTGTTGCAGGAAGAGTAAGCAGGAGTTGACTGGCCGGGGGTTGAAGTTGGAAAACAGGGCGTTGCTTTGCTGCCTACGAGCAGATACAGCATTATGAAAACACAAATGTACATACTTTTAAATCAATACCATAGCATTGTGGAATGGCGTTACCAGGGAGGCAAGGATCCAGGGCGGCGGCAAAAGGGGCACGCTTTGGGATACCAACAAAACTCCCACTATATATGCATACATTATGCGGATGGAGACTGGGCCAAAAATTGCTGACAAAAAAAAAACAAAATTAATTAATGTTGCATTGCAATTTTTATGGCAAAAATAGTCAATTTTACAGATCAGGAGTTTTCAAATTGTTATCTAAATTAGTGGATATATAAAAAAATTCTTCAAAATTTGAAAATTAATTAAAAAAATTTTTTAAAAAATAGCCGTTTTTAAAAGCAGTACGAAAATATCAGCATTATTTCACAAAAGAGCTAAAAAAAGATATTTATTAAAGGCTAATTAATTAAAAATATTTTTTAATAACCTTTGACAATAGATGTGCTATGGTCGTATAATAAAAAGCTTCTATTTTTATAAATCATTTTTACATAGTCTATAATACTTTCGTTAAAAATGTAAACCACGACCCTCTAAATATTGAAAAGCTTTGAATATTGAATTGGAAAATATCTATGCGAGCAAGGAAAGCTCATTTATTAGTTACTAGCAGAAGATTAATATAGCAATCATATAATTGAATTGTACTCGATTAAAATTGGCACTTGACATCGAGGTCACGTATCAGGTGTTCCGGAAGTAAAGAAAGTAAATGTTTTTAAAAAAAAAATAAAATTTACGTACGCGCACGTCCTCTTGGTAAAAATTTAATTTTATCAAGTTGGTGATGTTAAATTTCCGGTTTTCCAGAAACATCATCCGCTTGCATCCGCTAGAGATAAGGAGGACAAGAGGTGAGAGCGAAACTTTGTGTGACGGCCTAAGAAAAACGAAGACGATGGAAGCAAAAAGTTGGAGGTAAAAAAAATTTAATTATTTTCAATTTAAAAATATATTTAATCGAATATCAATTACAAATTACGTAACGTTTTTTTTTGTACCCCTCCCTCCCTCGTGTCACACACTGTTTCATATACATTAGCGTCATTTTTTT